TAATAATGAAAAGAATAAGTGAAAAATAAGCCATACAGATCAACTTTCCTAATTCGTAATGTAGATCGAACCAAAAAAGAGTATTTACAGTAAATGTTTTACTGATTACAAATCAGAGAGTTAATTCAAACAATATAAATAAACAAGTTTATCATTCATACTACTTCACACTAAGTTACACACAAATACAAAATATATTTAGATCCAGAAAAACATTCTATACTATTGTAAAAAATTATGATTTGATCTATCTAAAAAAGATTCAATACTTAAAAGTATCTAAAATTGTAACTCCTCAATAAATATTTAGAAATTTACAAAAAAAGTGTAACTTTATAGTTTTAGATAAGACAAAGTTACATTTTTTTTTTTTTAAGAAATTTTACTTATCGTTATTCATTAAGTGCAATTGTAGAAAAACAGGTTTTTAAAGGTTTTATCAAGATACTATTCAATTAGTTCCTAAAACATATAAAGAATTATACAAATACTTGCTGCTTATTTTTTATTTTTTTGTTTACTAAGAATTATTTTAGCATCATTATCTCAAATTTGACTAATAATTAAAATTAATATATGATGCTATAATAGAAAGTCTAAAAGAGAAAATACGATAAGAAAAGCAAAATAAATAATAATACTTAAACTATAATTTAAAAAAACAAGTTGAAATCTAAAGTCTTCTTAAGATTAGACGTGAAAGATATTTATATATGATCTGAAAATATTTTAAATAATTCGATTGTTAATAACAATTTAAGATACATAGAGTTTTTGTTTGAGAATGACCTTATAGGACATAGTAATTACTATGTTCCATAAGGTCATTTTCAAGGCAAATCCCCACATTTTAATAATAACTAATAAACGATAAAAGAAAAAATAGAAAAAAAATTCTTTAAATAGTAAAGTCTTACCAAAAGAAACTTTAATCTTTTAATTTGTTGTCATTTTTAAATTTATACTTTAGCTCAAGCTCTGCTATTTGCAATTTATAATTTATTTCTATTTGTGCTACTATTCTTTCATTTTCCATTTTTAATTTTTCAAACTTTAACTCTATTTTGTTCTTCCTCTTTTTTATTTTTTCTTCAAATTCTATGTTAAATTTTTCTCGTTTGAACTTAATTTATGCAAATTCTGCAGAGGCTTTTTGTTTAACTAATTCTTCTTTTACAGTTAATAATTTCTTTTTTGTTTCTCTTAAATGATTTATTTCATCTAAGAAAAGTTGATCTGTATGGCTTATTTTTCACTTATTCTTTTCATTATTAATATCATGGACTGTAAGCTAATACAAAATTTTATAAGAAATAGAATAATAGGTTATGATAAGAAATAGAATAATAGGTTATGTCACGATAATTATAACTAAATTATTATGATTTGTAATTATACTTACCGTCCAAACCTAGACAAATCCAAACCCCAAAAATATAATTACTATTTATAAAAAATTGAATCAAAAATTTATCTTAAAATTCTGCAAATATATTATTTATAGTTATAAAAATATATTTGATTTAAGAAAGATTATTAATTAAGTTTCTAAGATATGAGTTTGACCAGAGTTTGGAATTTGGGCATAAACAAATTCAAACTATAGTAGTTTGGGCAGCAAGTATATATGTGATATCAAATAATTTAGTCCAGATATTTTTGTAAATCATAAGCAAATACCTTTTCTTTTTCATCTAAAGTTAAAAATAAAATTAAGTAATCAGAATTGATATTTTCCTGACTACTAAATAAACTATCCATTTTTTTTAAATAAGGTCACTTAAAGGTTGCTTTACCAGTTACTTCTTTTTTTTCATTAATATATTTTGTTCGAAGGCTAAGCAACTTAGCTTTTACTTGTTTTCCCATTTTATTATTTCCTAACTTATAGGCAGCACATCTATAGAACCTTGTTTTATTAGTTGTATAAAGTTTCCAATTTATAGCCAATATATCGAGAAGCTTATTAATATCAGAATATAGCCAAATAGTAGTACTAAAAGAATCTTTAAGTTCACTCTCATCATTTATTTCATTATCTTCAATATGTTCAGTAGAATTTTTAGTTATTTCTAACTCTTCATCAGATATATAATTTTGACCTATTCCGTCTAAAGATAGAAAAGATTTTTTATTATATAATTAAAAACAGGTAAAAATAAATTAAAAAAACGGGTGATTATTATTTAAATTAGTATTCAGACTTTAATCATTATATGTTTTAAACAGATAAAAAATTATTTTAAACTATTTTTTTACCATTCTTAATTCTATTATAATTATTTTGAGACATAATTAGTTGAACTTTGTGTGTAGTTGGTATGGAATAATCTAAATACCGATCACTTCATACAAGTGAGATTGAATAATCTGAATACTGATCACTTTGTACAGGTGGTGTAGAATAATCAAAATACTGATTACTTCGTGCGAGTGGTGTAGAATAATCAGAATACTGATTACTTCGTGTAAGTAGTGTAGAATAATCTGAATACTCATCACTTTGTGTGGGTAGTGTAGAATAATCTGAATACTGATTACTTCGTGTGAGTACTATAGAATAATTAGAATATTGACATAAAGAACTATTTTTATTTTGCTCTTGACATGGTAGATAGTTTTGCATTTTATAAGATGTGTAGTTTTGTGAATTATAATTCACAAAATGATATGGACTTTTATTACTCATTTTTAAAATTGCAAAGAAAAAAAATTTTCGCTATTTATGTATTTAAATAATGTTAGTAATAATTACAATTTCATGATTACGATCTATTTGAAGAAAATAAAATAATCAACAATGTTAAATGTAGCTATTCAAATAATAGTACTATTATTCTCAAAGCTTCTTTATCTATTATTATTATCTTATTTTTTTTAGTTAATCTTTTATACTTCCTTTATAGAAATAACAATAATTAAGAAACAAACAATGATATATCGCATATATAATGTGAATTAATTAATAACTTCAATTGGAAAATAATTAGATTCAAATTAAAGTTGTAAATTATAAGTTACTATTGGTATATTACCAAGTAACTCTAGGTAATCTATAATAATAAACACATATAAAGTTTAATTTACAGTATATTCATTTCACCAAGTTATTGAATTACTTTAGAGTTAGCATTAATTTTGACTAAAAATAAATATCAGGAAAGTAGATTATATATGTAAATATGATAAAAATTAGGCTTCATATATGTTAAACCAGATTTGCAGAAACTTATACAAGATCTTTTAATATTTCAATAAGACCTTTTGTATTTCAGCAAACTTTGGAATTTTTGGGAATCTTACTTAATATATAGCCAAAACTTCCAGAGTCTGCTAAAATACCAAAAGATCTTGCCGAAATGCCAAAAGACCTTGCATAAGTTTCTGCAGATCTGGCTTAACATATATGAAGTCTAATTTTTACTATATTTACAAATTATCAAAAACTTTGCTTTAATTATTTGCTACATAGCTGAAATAGCCAAAAGATTTTGGTTACATGTATAAGGTAGATAGTTAATGAACCTAAAATATGAGTATAAATAGTAAGGTTTTAGAAGGTAAGATAACTTACTTAATAAGTTACTAATAGTTTGGTAACTTAAAGTTAAAATTTATAAATTATAGTAACTTTACAACTCTAATTCACATATACTTAGGATCCTCTGTTACATAAAATTATTTAGTTCCTGCTTTAGAACTTGATTCTAAGTTTTATTTCAACTATGTATTTAATCTTCTGTTAAATATATGGAGTTTCTTTTTTAAAATTAAATTTATTACCTCTTGCTATCAAATCTAAATTTGCTACTTACCAGTAAGTAATTTGTCTATATGGACTATAACATAAATAAATGTGAAACCAAAAGCCAGAAGTGCTACCAAAAGTTGAAAAAAAATACTAAACTTGAATAGTTTATTTTACTAACTATTGTTATCATTATGAACTAAAAGTGAATTTTCTGAAATTAATAACTACAAATTCCTAATTCAATTTATCAGAATATTCAATTATACTTAGATAATTAGTTATAGAATATTCTAGCTGAAGTAAATATAACACAAAGCCAAGAATATTCGTGAAAAAAAATATGCATAGCAGAGTATTGAGGAAAGGGTTTAGGGCAAAGAAAAAGAGAGAGAAGATATGAATTAGTAAGCTTAAATAAAATAGTATAAAATTACCTTAAAATCTTAAGAATCTTGGCTACTATAAAAACTCAAAATAAGGCTATATAAAATTATACAATTGGTTTTCATATCACGGAATAGTAATCTATGATGCAAGCACATAGCTTTTTTTTTTTTTTTATGAAAAAATTTTTTAATTAAAATAATAGCTGATAGTTAAAAAAAATGTTGGAATCATAAAAAGGTAATGTCTAAAAATATGCCTTGTCGAGAAAATGGGCTGTAGGTGAAATAGTCTGTTGAGAGATGTGGTAGAACTAACTTTCAGTGAATCATACCATAACCTTAGATATGTTTTTATTAAAATATGATATAATGATGCTGATGCTTATCTACAAATTTGCTTACTTCTGCTAACCTGCAAATGAGTCAGGGTGCCTACTCGGATTCAAGTACTAACTATATACTTAAGTTCCTAGTATGAAGAATTCTATTGGTTAACTACATAAAAAAAAAAAATTTACAAATACTACTTCACTGACACGAGCGAGATATGAAAACCAATTGTATAAATTTGCATGGTCTAACACCCATACCTATTATTTCAAGTTTTTATGATATGAAAAGGATAAAACACTTATTCAGAGTTTTTAAATGCCCTTTTCCTTTACAAAAATTATAAAAGCTTCTATTTACTCTTAAAAACCTTTGGATTAAAAATGAAGAAAATAATAGTAAAAAAAACTTCCAAATCACTATCATTATGCCTCTAGTGAATTATCAAAAAATTATCTTTTATTATGAAATATGAGGCATCGTGTGATGTACAGTAAATATTAATAGTTTATTTTAAATTTATTGATTAATCTATAAAAAATAGATAACTGAAGTTTGTTTATACTTGGTTTTAACAATTTATTATTTTACCACCAAGATCCATAGTATTAATGACTTCGCTATTAGGTTAGAGCTATATTTTTTGATATTAAATTAGAGTATAACATGTTAAAATTTTATAAGAAACTTATACGTAGGTAAATTTTTATATAAAGGATTTTTAGTTATTTGCACTGTACCTAATTCAGAAATTTCTTGACCAGAGAAATTTTTAGTCGATAATTTAGTTTTCGACTTTTAGATCTTTCATAGCATTTTTAACTTTCAATAGCATTTTTGATAACACTTTAAATTTTCATTCATACTTTCTGTACAATGCGACAGACTAATAAAAAGTATTTTAACATATTAAAATCTAATATAGCTAGATATCATAAAGTTTACTATTCATAGTAATGATAATAACCGTAAAATTATTCGAATTTTTAAACTTGTCAGCTATATCAGCCCTACTATTTATATTTTATTTCTAAATTTACTTTACTGCATAGTATATTTTTATTTTACTTCTAAATTAATACTATTGTGTAATATATTTTTTATTTTACTCCTAAATTAGTACTAGTG